TGTGAATTCGGGCCACTGAGCTGGTGATATATAATATCCCTTTATTACATAGCATGATAATATACGTATAATCTTCAAATCTCTTTTTCACCTCTCAGTATATGGAGGAAAGAGGATACCAGTGCTCTAATGATTCTTAAGAACAGTTCTGCTATTTGGTTTTTACCTGATCACTAAAGTTTTTAACGTAGTTTTAATCCATACCAATCATGTAACTTTTCTGATGAATTTTTTTCTTAAATAGGAAGTTTTAGTATAGTAGTACTTTTGGCAAGAGGCATAGTCAACTTTCCTAAAGAGTTACGTCTTAGATTAACATTCCCCTTTTTCTAAATTTTACAGAGCAATAAATAGAAACAAAAGGAAACTTTTAATAAACAAAGGCATCCCATTGGGTAGTGTAAAGATTTTTCATAATTACTGAATTGATCTAAGAGATGGCAGGGATTTACTGCCGTGGAATATCAACCAAAATATAAATTTATCATTCATAGATGAATGTGTATTTTGGACAAATGTCAGCATTAAATAGGATTGAAATAAAAATAAGGGTTTGAAATGGAGCTCTAACAAAAGTATTAAGTTTTTCTCTTAGCAGGTGTTATTTATTTAAGAAATGAGTACATGTACCTTTTCCAAAAATTTAAGTTGGCCTAGCTCTTCTAAATTTATGTGTCTTGATTCTTGACAACTTATTTCTTTCAAATTTGCAGCAACATAGCCTGAAGAAAATAATGGCTTTCCTGATCGGTTCGATTTCTTTTTCATTTTTCCCAACTTTACCTCTTGTTCTGTTCTTGCCCTCTTCTTGAATTTGGCTTAAGCTTCAGAATGTCTCCACTTTTTCATTTTCTTAGCTCCTCTGATGTAAAATATAGAGCATGAAAAAGAAAAGGCATGCTTCTGTTACCCCAGGTGATGGGAGTTTACTGTCAGGAAACGTGGGTAGTCAGGAAGTGCAAGGAACCTTTTCAGCAGCCACCAGGCTATTCCCAATCACCCATTTCTTGTGCAGCCGTTCTCGGAGGGAACTGAAACAGTGGGTCATCACTGCCTCCCCATGATGAAGCAGCCCCCGGGCTGGCTCTTCTTGTCCTTTCAGGAATGGTTGCCTTCACATTGCTTTTGGTAGAAGCACTCACCAGTGTTTGATCCAGTCATTAACCACAGCAGCATGGATATATAGTGGACAGCATCCTTTAGCGTCCTGCCAGTTGTCTAGTACAGATACAAATAGTGAAGGTGCACTCTTAACAACAGTTGCCTACTCGAATGCAGTCATAGGAGTCCCTGAGATTCCAAACAGATCTTGGAGTCTTAGGGAACCATATGTATTAACCACAAAATAAATGAACTGAAATAAAAACTCCAGTCACATCTGGTTTTGACCGTATATTTTTATGACCTTTTTCATATAACTTTATGGCTGCTTCAGTGACTTTAAAAACTCAGAACTGCCTACTAACAGCAACATTGAGTCAATGCTTACCTAGGATTATTTATATGAAAAAAAATGTATATCTGTTGCTCATTGAGAAGAATTTTAATTTTCTGAGTGTAGAAATTAATCATGTAGTTTGTAACAAAATATTTTTAAATTGAAATGTACAAATATGCTTGGAGTACCTACTATGTGCAAAACACTTTGATAGCCTTTGCAGGGGTACCAAGTTCATTTATTCCACAGATCTTTATTAAGCCATGCACTGCCTTGTGCTAGGTCCCTAGGATATGATAACAAATGGTGAACAGATTTTTCTTATAGGAGCTTACTAGTACAGTTGAGGAGAAAGACATGCAAATACAAAATAAGAGCACATGAGAGGGGCACGTAACAAAGCCATGGGCGTTCAGGGAAGACTTCCTGGAAGAAGTGCCATGGAAACGATAAGCAGGAATTTGCCAAAGAAAACATGTTGGTGGTTGGAGCATTGATTCCAAGTAAAGGATATCTCACATGCAACTAAGAGAAAATGGGTTGTAAGTGCTTGTTATTTTTCGCTAGGATAACAGAGTGATCTCTTTTGTATGTAAGCTAGTATGCTGGGGAGTGTGCATTCTAAGGAGTTTGGACTTTATCCCATGAGGTCCCACTTCCCTGGTTCTCTTCCTACCTCACTTTATACTTCAGGCTTTCTTGCCTCGAACTCACTGTTAAATATTGGAATTTTTTCGGGTTCAGCCCTAGATTTTTTTTTTTCTCGTCTTCCTTGTCAGATGTGTTTGTGTCCATGAGGTTGTTTAGCACTTGTAAGCTTGATGATTCTCAAGACAATTCTGATTTAGGCTCTTGCATCCCTATCGTTATGGTCATGCTCACCACTCAGTTTCCTTAGGTCCGTGCTCCCTGTTTGCTGCTCCTGCCATCCCTGTCTCTCAATCCTTAGAACCTGCCAAGCACCTTCTTGCCCCATGAATTTTGCACAGCTTCTGTTCCCTTAGCCCGAAATGCTCGTACCTTCTTGCCCACCTACTACCCACTCCTCCTTCTAGCCTTGGCTTAAATATTACTTTTTCCCAGATATCTTTGGGGCCTCTCCTAACCCCCATTTTATAATTTAGTGACTTGCTGCACTTTTATTGTTTTCAATACTACTTATCCGTTAGCCTTTAAGCTCTCTGAAGGTAACAACCATTTCTGTCTGTGATAGCTTTATATTAAAACACTTAGCAAATGACCTGTACCTTACTTGGGGTCTTAATAAACACAATGACCTGCTTGAGTTAGAACAATGAGGAGCTGCTGAAGAGTTTTACTAGCAGAGTGACCTGATTGGATTGGCTACTAGAAAGTGTATTCTGTTATCGGTATGGAGAATGAGTTGGAGGCCATGGCTAGAACAAGGGCGATAAGTAGGTGGGTGTTACCACTAGAAGCGTATGGCCTCAGCACACATATGATAAAAACACAAAGAATCCAAATGCTCCTTGATCCAGGGGCTCAACGATAGTCTCAGGACTCTTTTTTATCTCTTAGCGAGGCTAACTCCATCTGGACCCCACTCTTCCCTAGTCTTTTTCTTTATGAATTGTAGCAGCTTCACCCTACATCTGTCCAGTAGAAAAGAGAGTTCATGCTATGGTTATGTGGTTCTGGCTGGTTCTGCTTAGGTCATGTACCCATCTCTGAAGTAATCATTGTTGCCAAGGGGATTCTTGGTGCTGACTGATCACATGTTCTATCGGGAGCTGTGGCAGTGGTACACTGGAACACTGGCTAAAAAAAAAAAATAAAAATTAAGGCCTTCTTTGTAGCATTTGTCAATTTCTTTGGTATATGTACTCTCCCACCATGCCAGATTTTAAGATGCCTGGCTTGGAAAGTTTCTAAATTTTAACCATCAGTTCTTACAAGCCAGTTCCAGCAGCTCCAGCACACCATCACGAGCTGAAGGCGGAGCAGCCAGAATCACAAAGACTGATGGTGAGGGAGGGGGTGGTGGTGCTCTAAACGGCAATTGGAATACTCATAGAAGAGGGGGAAATTCAAGGGTAGTTTGCACGGTACCACATAACATATACTTTTGTGTCCTGATTTTATTTTACTGAAGGATTTTTAAAAGTTCTTATACCATTTCCTTGAATCACATTTGTGAGGACCATATAATATTCCATTCTGTGAAAGTACTATAGTTTACCATTCTTTCCTTGTTGAATATGTAGAATGACAGAATTATAGATAATGCTTTGCTGGACATGTCTATGCCTACATTTTCATATTTAGGACAGACTCACTAAGGTAGTTTGCCTAAGTGGAATTTCTGGGGCAAAGTAAAGAGCCTTTTGATGTTTTTGATAAATACTTTCCAATAGATGTACAAAATTGTTCTCCAGTTTATATCACTACCATCCTTGTAAGAGAGCAACTATTATTGCACTGTCATTAAGTATAATTAAAAAATGGATAGGACAGAACTGATACGTCATTTTAATTTGTATTTGTTTGAATTCACTAAAAATGTTCAAATGTCATGTTTTGTAACAGATGTATTATTTTGAATTGTCTTACCATTTTCCACTTTTGGGTGTGTGTGTTGATCTTATAGTACTATTGCCATAGCTATTTATCTTCTTATAATTAATTGAATTACTATATAAAGAAACATAATTAACAGTGGACATTCTAGCAGTGAACACAGCTTGATAAATGTTAAGGGGAGTGTTGTATAGGAAACTCTAATTGTGTGTCATTTAAGGTAACATAACTGCTCTAATAGGTAAGTACAAATTCACAGTGAGTTAACATAATAAAAGTGTATTTTTTATTCATGTCAAAGTATCATATGGGTGTTCCTGGTTGGGCACCTTTCATGTGGTTGTTCAGGGACAAAGGCTCCATTTGTTCCATGGCTTTCCTCGCCGGTAGGCCCTTGTACTTGTCTCCATTCAGGGGAAGGGTGACGCAAGAGAATGGAGGACAATGTGGGAGATTTTTATGGGCTAGGCCTCGAAGCGCCACATTGAATGTGTTTACATTCCATTGACTAAAACGCAATCCCATGGGCACAATTAATTGCAAGGGAGAAAAGGAAAAAGATTTGGGGAACATCTAGTAAGTCTTTGGTAAAACTGCCATACCTGAAATGGAGAAATCTTTTCAATAACTCTGATTCTATTTATTGCTTTCACTACTTGAGTATATCTAGGAATAAATAACCCATGTTACTTGGATTACTTATGGGATTTAAAATGGCATGGAAAATTGTAAATAGTGAAAAGAGATACATAGCTTTTTCATGGACCAGAGTGGCAGGGAAAGGACATTAAATGGTTATTGGCCTCTCGTTCAGACACTGAAGAGAAGAGAGTGGACGTTGTTGGACAAAGTGACGTTGTCACATGTTATAAAAAAGCCTTGGGAAGAGCAACCGTCACTTAATGTATAAGTAAATTGGATGTTCAGGAAACTGTAATCAGCTCAACCAGTAAGTTTGATGACTTACTATGATGATATTTTTCATCGGATATTTTAGCTTGTTCTCTTATTTCTGCCTACACAGGTAATTAAAGTATACAGTGAAGATGAAACCAGCAGGGCCTTAGAGGTACCCAGTGACATCACTGCTCGAGATGTTTGCCAGCTCTTGATCCTGAAGAACCATTACGTTGACGACCACAGCTGGACCCTTTTTGAGCATCTGCCTCACATCGGTCTGGGTAAGGACACAGAGTCGCAGCCACATCCTCGCTTTTCTGGCCCTTACAGTTTTGATCATATGGCAGAAATTTCCTTCAGATACAGAAAAATAAAAGAAAATAATGAATAGTCCTTTTCTTTATTCTTTTATTTTTGGTACTGGTGGTCAAGGGACAAAACTAATAGAACAAAATGGAAATAAGGGTAAAAATATTACACATTTACCACCCCTGTTTGTTTATTAAAGAATGATTTATGGGAATTTTCGAGCTAGAACGTAGAGTCCAAATTGATGGAAAGATCAATTCCATAATAATCTTTAGCAGCACAATGAACGTTTTTTGAGAAGTTAATACAATAAGCTGTTATTTGAACCATTTTTTGAACTGAGTGTAGGGCAGACCTGGGGGTATCCCCAGCGGTGGTCTCTTTATGGGAGCATACACTCTACATTTTTCTTGAAGAAATAAGTAACTTCTTCACATTTTAAGCCATAAACATAAAAAGTAACCTTTTAAAAAACATTTTTAATTGGAAATGCATCTCTCTATTGTGAACTGTTAAGGGTTTTGTTTATTTCTTTCCAAATCTTTTGATAACTTATAAAGAATTTTCATTCTTCTCCTAGAGTGAGACAGGATTGGCAACAATTTTATCTCTCTTCTCTCATTTTTACAGATATTAGTGTTAAAAAAACACATGTTCCCATAATAAGTAGTTGACAAAGGAAGGAGCTATGGCAATGCCATTCAATTCTTTGATTTCTGTATTAGTTTCCTGTGGCTGTTGTGACAAATCGTCACAAGCTTGGGTGGCTTAAAACAACCAGATGTTTATTCTCTCACAGTTCTGGAGGCCAGAGTTTAAAATAAAATCGCTGTCACTGATTCTTGGGCTGAAATGAAGGTATCCTCAGGAATGCATTTCCTCTGGAGGCTCTGGAGAGAATCTGTCCCTTGCCTTTTCCAGCTCCTGGTGGCAGCTGCCATACCTTGGCTTACGGCTGCATCACTCAGATCTGTACCTCTGTGGTCATGGCTCCTTCTTCTCTTGTGTCTGTGTCAAATCTCCCTCTGCCTCTCTCTTATAAGAACAGTAGCATTTAGGGCCTACTCACATAATCCAGGATAATCTCCTCGTTTCAAGACCCTTAATTCAATCTACAACGTTCTTTTTTTTTTTTGACATATAAGGTAACAGTCACAGGTTCCAGGAATTAAGATGCAGATATCTTTTGGGGACTATTATTTAGCCTATCATAAACTCCTTTGTATTACCATATTTTGCCATGTATAATGCGCTGCCATAGGTATAATGCGCACCCACATTTTTGGCCCAAACTTTCAGGGGAAAAAGTCTGTCGTTTTAATTTTTTAATTCAAATTTTTATTTCTTTACATTTAGGTACTTGGTTTTTGTATTATAAAGAAATTTTAGCATTTATTTTTTTAACGTGGTACAAGACATTGTATGTAACAAATAATTACAAAACACAAGAACAGATGCAAAGTACAACAAATTTTATGTACTGGTAACAAATTTATGATATTTACGCATCATAGAAAGCCAAGAACTCTTCATCATTGCAAGTTCATCATAAGTTCAATACAACCGGTAATGGTATTCCAGGGTATTATTTTGCATATAGATATAGTTATTGATTTCTAGAGTTACACTTTTAATTCATAAGCATAAATAAAAGGATTTAAAACATTTATATAGATACAGAATTAGTACTCCCCAAGCATAATGTTCATCCTTATTTTTCCTTCACAGATTTGGGCAAAAAAGTATGCGTTATACATGGCAAAATATGGCATATGTCAAAGAAAAAAAAAACTTTTAGTAATAAATCATCAAAATTATTTAAAGTAATTTATCAGTGACAGCTGAATTAATTCCTTCCATTTGTTTAAAGAGTTGAGAATTTTATATCTAGTTGTGAGTCATTCACTTTCTTGCAAAGCTAGCTACCAATATATAAAATGCTCGCTGTGATGCATAGAGGGTTTACACCCCAGAGCAACAGCCAAAGTAAGCTTCCATTCAGATGAGAGGTTTGCCTTTGTTTTATGAAATAGAGTAAAGGTGAGATTGGCAGAAAAGGTGTGCTCTTAGGAGGATCTGTTTTTAAAAGATTCTGAAAAGTGGCTCATTTAAAACTACCTGCATTTCCTGAGTCTTTCAGAAGTGTTTCTGTACTTCCAATTTGAAGACTGTTGTCCTAGAATATGTCAGAACCTCAGGGAGAAGACAGAGTGAAGCCCGTGGAAAAGAATGTTGTAGTTAGACAGCCTCCACAGTGATCTGAACCCGAGCCCATCTTCTCTGACCCCTAGTTGATAGGTGATGAACTACAATATGTCAGCTGATCTTGACAGCTGAGCCTATACCTGCCAAGAAAACCTGGATTCTGAAGGTATTCTGACCAGTGCAACTTACTGTCTCACACTCCCTAGGACAGAAAAAGCCCTGCCTATACTTTCTTCATTGCTATTTGTGACTAATTTAATTTCTATTCATAATTCTTCTCCTAGAAATATGGTGTTCACTCTCAATAGGTATCTGCCATACTCCAAACTGTTTCACTTATGCTTCTCAGAACATAGCTCTTAATTAGCGTAGTATATAATTACAGTATTTTACACTCTTAAGTTTTTCTTTTAGGGGGACTTTCAGACATTTTTTTGGTTATAGTCACTACAATGTATCCTTAACAAATGCCTTGAAGTTCAATAATAAAAAATCTACTCTGTAAATCAAGCAGCAGTTTTCACTGAGACTGCTGCAAGTTATATTAAGGAATAAAATACACAAGTCTTTTAATGTAGAGGCTTAAAATGGAACATTGAGAATTAATTTGAGCTACATAATAAATTAAACTTTCAGACATCAAATAGAAATAAATTTCTCCATTACTTTATTTTCTAGGAACTGCTGAAATAAAATCACAGGTGTGAGAATATTGTCTTATGGCTTCGTCAACCATGCATTAGACCAAAGCTTATGAGAAAGAAATTTAGTTCTAGAGTTACTTGTGTCCTTTTTGGTTTTTACTCAGATCATATCTTTAAAACAGTAGAAAAATTGCAGACCCTAATGCTATCCAAAGAATAATGTGTAATTGATTTACCTGCTTCCATTTCTTTATCTAACAGTGTAACAGGAGCATCGCCACTGTTGGTCTTCCTCAGCATAATAAATAAAACCCATGTGTTTATTTACGTGCATTTAATTTTTGTGTATCTGTAGGTTATAAATAACTCTTGCAATATCTGTTCAGTGGAATTAAGTAACTTTTTCTTCATTTGCATATTAAAATGAAGGAAAAGAACTAGAGTGGGTTTCCCTCCCTTAAGTAGGCGATGTACCTACAGATGCTCTTGTCAATAGAACGAACTACTGACACCTTCACCTATACACCTTCTCTGAGAGCTCTTGATACAACGAACCAATGGACAAACTATTTGTCAAAACGTTGTTGACCAGCTACTCAGCTCTGAATATTGTTCAGGAGGTAGTCTTGACCTTTCTTTGATTGACATAATGAATTTTCAGTGAAAAGAACTCTAAAAGAGAGGGGGTGGTATCTGTTATTTTAAAAAAATACTTTTAATACAAAAATAATTCAGCTCATTGTAAGTAATTGAGAAATAAAGATGTCAAGAAGTAAACAATATTATCCATAATTTTACAACACTGAGATGACATTTATTAGTTTCTCTATTTTAACACAATCCCTAATTACACTACGTATTCACTTTTGTAGACTACCTTCTTTGTGTACGTACACTAAAAAATGCGTCCTGAGTATTGTTAGGTTTTTTTTTTTCACTTTGCAGACTCCACAAAAACTAGAAACTCTCCCTGCCTTCCCCTTTTCCCTTCCTCAATTTAGTAAATATTTACTGACTGTTTTGTACCAAACCTATTAGACAAAAAGCACTGCCTTTGTGAGTTTTCATTCTAGTGGGGAGAAAAAAACCCAAATGACTAAAATTTGTAGTCCCTTAGGTGATGATAAATGCTGGGGAGAAAAAGAAAGCAGGGGAGAGGGACAGAGTGCTGGGGGGGGGTATAGGGGGGTGGTGAGGGAGAGACACACTTTAAATGGAGGTGGGACCAGAAAAGGCCTCCCTGACGGAGACATTTGAGTAGAGACCTGAAGCCAACAGCAGCAGGCCTTGCAGTGGAATGGAAGATTGTCCTAGACAGAGGCAGCAGCAGGTGGAAGGCCCGGACGAGGCAATGTGCTTATGTTCAGGAAGCAGACAAGAGCTGGTGTGGGGAGTGGAGTCAGTAAGGTGGGGAGTGACGGGAGAGGACTTTGTGGTGCTGCCGCAGAGCCAGCTGGTGGCGGGTCTCACAGGCCACGGACTGGACTTGAGTTTTACACCAAGTGAGAGGAAGAGTAGCTGGAGGTCTTTGAGTCAGAGGGCAGTATGATCTAATTTAGTTTTTAAGGATACTGCTAAGAAGGCCAGAATGCAAGTTTTGACCTTTTGGAGGCTTCCTGGATTGATCCTTGCCCTTGGCTTATTTCTGCTAGGTGTGCACGCCCGGTTGTCCCATCTTCACCTTATAGTCTGCACATTGATGCGGTTTAGTGTTGACAAGATCCTGAAGCCTTACAGGCAAGAACATTTTCACTTATGGGATAGAAAAAAGTTGAGGGTTTTCGGCACATTAGTTCACTTTAATGTCCAAGATAAGCTTAGGATCATTTCAGAGACGTTCTGTTAGTAGATGTGCTGCTATAGTTGCTTCTGACCCATTAACGCATACTCCAAATTGCTAATGTCAGAAGCAGGAGCACTTGACATTCAAAATATGGTTGGTTTTTGGAATCTGAAGTCTGTTTTCAGGGTGATATTTTCTGGAGCAAAAGAAACTTTAGTCTTCTTAGTATTTTTAATATGAATGCATGTGTGTGATAGCTAATGTTAATGTGTATCTTATACATGCAAGGCACCAAGTGAGTGGTTTTACATTAATCTTGGGAGATGCTCTCAGTACTTTGCCTCATAGCAGCCCTGCAGCAAGTTATGTTTTCTAATCTTCATTTTACAAGGAGTAATACAAACACACTCG